GCACAAAAGTGGGATAATAGAATTAAACATCCTTCAACTTTTATTAAATTTCATTTTCAACCCCCAAACTCTAAATCTAATCAATTTAATCCCCAAAACTTTAAAGTAAAAGATGCTAATTTTTAATCTATTCATTAAAGTCTATGGGTGTTACAGAACTCTTGACTTGAATACATACAAGCATAATAAAACCTTTCAGATCACCTTGCTCGAGAATGTATGATCATGTTTTGCAACATACCAGAATCTAATCTAACAGAATCAGAATCCGCTGCCTGGCATAATGTTTGCTGCGACTGGGTAGTACTGGTGCAGTAGACAGGGCAATTTGGATGAACAGAGCCACATATCAATGCATGGTGCATGATATGAATGCATGCATTCTGGTAAAGTTCGTAGCTCCTCACCCTCTTGAAATTCACACAGGCACACGGCGCACATGCTATCTTCACCCACCAAGGCCATACCTTTTTTCTAGTTATGGACTTGGATGAGTTGCACTGTTGAATTCTCAATGCTTGTAGGTCCTTCTAAGTTTTCACGTCGATTAGAAGGTTGCAGAACTGGTGATTGTGCACGGAGACAGCACCTCAACCCTAGGACAACACAGTGGTAGATTGTGAGCAAGAGGTCTGCCAATCCCATCCAGATTAGAAAGAACTTATATGGTGCCTGACAGAAAGAGTTACCACTACATTTGTCTTCCATTGTAGGGAGTGATTAGCAAAGGTTAAGGTTCCTAGGATATTGTAGGCTACTGGCGATTATTACAAGATTTAGCTTGTGTAATGTGGAGAAATTAGTACAGAGTACAGGCCTTTTTTGACACCTTAGCCCAGGCCTATGTAGTGGCTGGATGCGTGAGACCCCAAGAAACTACATGTTAGAATTACATTTAATGATGTGTTATCAAGTTCAGAGGAACATGAGATTTGTATTCTGCTACATCCACCGGTCATCTATTTTTTTTTTATTTGTAGCAGCACTAGGCAAGAGAATCAAAATAATATAATTATAATATTATATGATATTATATATTTAAAATAATAATTTATTATTATATAATTAA